GGTTGTATACTCTTTTAGTCCAGAATACCAACTTTAGCTACGGAATTTTACAACTTAAAGAGCATTTTAGGAGATGACATTCTACGAGAAATACTACTCTCTGTGTTATTGCAGTGCAGTAAATTTACTTTTAAACTAAATATAAGAAATGCAACTTTCTTAGATGACACCTGGCAAATGCCAAAATGTGCACTTCTGGAACTGGTACCTTGCAAAAGTTTAGGCATTTCTGTATGGTAAGTATTCATTTTGGTAAAAGTAAGGAATCAGTAAAGCTTACTTGTTGTTATTACAGTTTTACTAAGGAAAAAGCATTGATTGTCAACGTCAATGAGAAATCAGTAGCTGCTGAAGATGTAAGATCAAAATCTCTAAGTATCTAATGTAATTTTTCAAAATTATAAATGCTTTAAATTTAGTGTTATTTATGTGCCGCATGTAAATCAGAATAAAGTCGAGATTGGAGATGTACTGGATGAGATAAACGAGAATGTGATCAATGGCGATAGCAAGGGAAAACTACGTAAAATTATGAAGAAGGCTAGTGGACAACCGATAATGCTACATATCATTAAGGTACCATATATTCTGCCAAACAATAATTGATGCTAACGTCAATATTTTCTTTCAGCTTTATACTAAAAAATCCTGTGAGCTTTACGAACCAATAGTGCATCTTATAAAAAGTTCAAGTATTGAGAGTATGAAGTCATTAATACAAGCATCACGATCAGATCAGGTGGAAGAAGACACTAAAAAAAGTCAGATTTCTAAATCGGGAAATAAAACATTAAACGATGGATTCTTCGTGAAATATTGCGGTTCTGTGCATGTCGGTGCAGAAGGAGATGTTAAACAAATTGAGAAAGCTATTTGGCGCTTATTGAAGTCGGGGGAAATGAAACAAGTGCCTGTGCGATTTGAATGTTTAGAAATTGGAATTATAGTAACTCGAGAAGTAGACAATCAGGTAAATTAATTATCATAGCAGATTTTCTAAAATTATTGTCTATTTTCTGAAATTTTAAATTATAAATGCAGTATTAATCTTAAATATTAAATCTTAAATATTAAATTAAAAAAATTTTTTAATAAAATGTAATATTCCGAAGTATACATTGGACAAAGAAAAATATTTCTATTTTAGACAATATGCAAACAGAGTTACATGGAAATCTCATCATGTGGACGTACTATCAATATACCAGATTATTTTGCATTCATTGCAGGGTAAGTTTTATCAAATCAAAATCATGCATATATAATTACTTGTGTTATCTATTACCGTTTTTAGAGAAACAAATTGTAACATGGCAACAAAATTTGATGCTTATATCTTCTATCATCGAAATGAAACAGAGGTCCAACAAATCTTACAGAGTCTGGGACAAGGATTTCATCGTACTCATTTTGCAGTATAAACTACAAATATATATATATATATATATATATATATATA